ATATCAGTGCACTGGATTTGCGTTTGTTTTATGCTTTACGTTGTGCACTTATGCCCTGGCACTGTTGATATGGTCCGCCCTGCCGAATTGGAGGTGCACAACTGTATTACAGAATGTACTCTTGATTCCGACACTGCTGAATATTTATACACTGCAACAGATTTGCAGATTTGAAATATAAGTTATCAAAAAACTGTATATCCTGACCAAACGCTTATCATCTTGAACAGGGAATTTTCGCGCGCGCGCGAAAAATTGAAAGCAAACACACATTGGACAAGTGAGTAGTATGGGGAAGTGGATGACTATCGATAACAAGCGCGCTCTTATCCGCCAGAGTCATGAGGCTCCTGGAATGACGCAGACACAACTTGCTGAATGGGCGCAGCAAGCGTTTCGCCTGGCAAAGGCACCCGCGCGTAATACCGTCTCCGACATCCTGAAGAATGGCGAAATCATCATGAAAGGGGAGTATGGCAAGGGAAAGAGACGAAATCCACTTAAGGTGAAGGCTCCAGCTCTTGAGAAACAACTGGATGAGTGGGTAACAAGGGCTGAAAAGTGCGGCATGTGCCTGAATCGCAAGGTCATTCTAGAGTTCCTGTATGAGTTGATAGGCTTTATAAAAGGTCCGGAACATATGGCGTCGGAAGTGAGAGTGCAGTCTGTATTGTTCCGAAAATCCGATTACAGTAAACGCTCTCCATTCCAGTACTGCTGTAACCTAATATCCTGACCCAAATGATCGTATCGTTTTAAAGAAAGACATGATCAGCAGCGTTTTGGCGGGAACTATTCCACACCAGCCATCGGCACAGTTGCAGTGCACCACTCATTCCGTAACCTTGGGCATCAGCAGTGCAGAATTCGAAGAGCGCCATTCGCTTAGTTGCCACTGACCAGCCATGGGGAGGTGGCTCACAATTAAACAGAAGATGGCCATGATCAAGAAGGCCAGCGGGAGCCCAGGTATGACACAAGCGGAGCTAGCAGCGTGGGCAAAAGTAACGTTAAAATTTAAACGGGCACCAGCCCAGACGACGATCTCCGACATCTTGAAGAAGGCTGACACGATCCTGTCCGATGACTACAGCGACGGCAACAGTTGCAGCCCCTGCGCGTGACGTCACCAGCTCTGGAGAAACAGCTTTGGGAGTGGATTCAAACAGTCGAAGCCCAAGGCGTGTGCCTCTCACGTGCGCTGATTAAGCTGAAGGCTCGCGATATCCAGAAGGACCTGTGCGACGCGTGTGAGATCGCGTTCTCCGACGGCTGGCTCACCGCATTCGAGCGGCGGCATGGGCTGCGTAATCGGCAGCGACCTGGCGAAGCTGGATCAGCCGATCATGTTGCTGTTGCGGCTGGGCGCCAACGACTACAAGCAATAACAGATCTCTACAGTCCCCAAGATATATACAACATGGATGAAACCGGCTTGTGCTACGCGATGGCCCCTGCCCGCTCAATCTGCACTAAGTCCGCCCGTGGAGTGAAGAAGGACAAGACGCGGTTTACTCTCGCGCTGACGGCGAACGCTGACGGCACGAACTTGCTGCCTCCGCTGTTTCTGGGCCGGGCAAAGCAGCCATTTTGCTTTCAAAAGAAATCCGCAGAGGAGTTGGGTTTTTACTATCAGGCGAACAAGATGGCGTGGATGAATGGTCAAGTGTTTGGTGAGTGGCTCAGAAGTCTCGATTGAGATATGCGGGCCAGTGGTCGCTGCATTCTGTTGCTCTTAGATACCGCCTCAACCCACAACACTGGCAATCTGGTCTGTACTAATGTTCAGGTAGAATTTCTGCCACCTAACACTACTGCCTTTTTACAGCCGATGGACGCTGGAATCATCGCAGCGTTCAAGGTTGCATACCGACAGAAACAGCTTGAGTGGGTCTACAACAGATTAAGCACGGTGATAAAATTGACAAAAAGGCGTACAAGGTTGACCAGCTTACGGCAATGCAGTGGAGCAAGGCTATTTGGCTTGACCTGCGGGAGAAGCAGACAGTCCAGAACTGCTTTCGCCATACAGGTATTCTGTATAACGCAGTAGATGATAGGAGCAAGGACAGTATAGCTTCCAGCTACGACGACCTCGAAGATGTAAAGAATCTTATAATCCGCGCTTCCCAGCTAAGCCTGTAGACTCTTTAAAACAATTTCAAATCTTGAGATGGGGCCGGACCACGATACCGGAATGGAGAGCGTTTGCTGTAAACGTCGGATAAGCTTAGAAAGAAACGGTCAAAACCGCATCAAAGACAGAGGACTTTATTGTGAATTTCTGGGATACAGGGTTGTTCATTCTGTCGCCATTTAATGAATGATGTTTATCCCTAAAATAAAATGATTGTGTCACGTCCCAATTCACAGTTCAAGACGAAGTTTTAAACTGCGTTTGTGCGGCATGACTCAGATCTTCTTTTTCCATTCTTTAACTGGTAAAGTCGTACCTGGCGTACATCCTGCATTTGGTCTGTCTTAAATTGGCGATGTATGTATACATGAATCACAGGCACTTTCACAGTGTAATCAAGTCATTTGCTCTCTCAAAAAGATAAGATTGTGCAGCCGAAGACAGCGTCCGACGAGTTGGCGAGGAATCCGAAGTATGCCACTCAATTTGACAAAGGTCGCCTTGTATTTGATGACACAGATATCCCTGCCTCCGATCCAGAAAATGATGCGAAAGCGTTTCGTGATCGAACAGGACGTTTGAGCCCAATCGTTTTTAATGACCTCTCTATGCAGGTTCTACTGCTGATTCTACAGTGCTGAAAGATCCACACTAAAAGGATTCGCCCCCCCCCCTCTCTCTCTCTCTCTCTAGAATTGTTTGACTTGAGTGATGCAAGATATGGCCTTACGTAGGAAGTGCTTACATCGTATCGGGGTGTTCGTTATCATTGGAATCAAGTCAACGAAAGGTACGATCGATATCACCAGAATTGAAAGTTCAGCATTGCGTGCTTGCTACTTCCTACAGCGGGATCTTGATAGTTGCGAGCCAATTGGTATTTCCGGCCAAGCAGTAAATTCGATTAACCTTCTTAATCTGCACTTGTAA